AATAAAAATTAAACCGAGATTTAGAATAAGTATCATTTTGATCCATACATTCATACATTAGTAATGTGTGACTGGGCCTCGTGACACTTTATGTTAAATAAATTGGGCCCTGAGGTCAAGAAGGTTAAGAACCCCTGACCTAATATATCACTCGTTCATTAGACAGTTGTGTTGAAGCAGGGAAACGTAAAACATGCAGGTTAGTGAGGAACAAGGTTGAAAACCTCTGCAAAAGTCAATGTTTAAAGTCTTATACTGATTTCCCTCCTAGGCGATGAAAGGTGAGAAGGGAATGCCCGGAGTGGCAGTGGGGGAAAGTCTGAGCGAGGACCTCACAGACGACAGCTTCCGTAAGTGATGTAGATGTTATTTAAAGCTTTTAGAGACGAGATTATTCGTTTTACACAGGATTTTGTTCTTTCTTCACAGCAACTCCACTTCAAGCGGGGCTTATTACAGCAGATGGTCAGCAGCAGAACGTCATGGTGTACACCACCTCATATCAACAGGTAACATTTATGATCTTTATTTGCTGCATCCAACAGAGCCAGTTGTTTGATAATCCACATGTGACCTCAGTCTAAAATGGAACKCAGGACAGATTTTCATCACTTGWAAAAATTAGGAGAGGGAAAAAGTGATGYYTTTTGTTGTGGTCTTGTTTAAATGTATCCACTCTAATTTCCATACAGGATAAAACAGACGTGGCTTTCAAAAAGTTACCTGAACCAGAGCCATACTTTTACCCCATCAAAGCAGAGCATGGAGGGTTGTTCTTTCTGAGTCCAGGTCCAGATGTGTTCGCATGTCACCTAGAGATGTCCCGATCAGATACTCAGTATCAGTATCGGTGGCAGATATGGCCTTTTTTTTTAAATCGGGTAGAATCAGATTTAGTCATGTGATCGGGCCGATCCAGTTTTCTCGACAGTTTTCAGCATCATCATGCTTTACAACTGCCGTTAAGAAGTCAAGACGCACACAAGTATGCAACCATGTCCACAGTGTGGGAACACTTTTCAATGGAAAACAATGATGCTGAAACTACATCTTGCAAAATCTGCAAACTGGATGTTTCTCGTGGTGGGAACAGCAGGGCTCAGTTTAATACTACCAACCTTGTCACTTGGAAAGAAATAAAAAATAAAGCAATCGGTATCGGAAAGC